GGGGGGGGGGGGGGGGGGGGGAGGCGCCGCCCGCGGAGCCGGCCCTCGGCAGCGGCGGGCAGCGCGGGAAGGCGGGCGGGAGCCGGGAGCCCTTCGCGGGGCACATCTGGCCGGGAGCGTGGCGGCGCGTCACGTCTGCACGGCCGCGAAGCGCGGGCGCACCGCGGCGCTGCCGAGCCCCCCCTCACCCCCCCACATTCTCCTCAGAAGACCCCGCCGTTCCCGGGCCTGCCGGGCTGCGAGCCGGCGAGCTCGCCGGGGCAGGCTTCTGTAGGGACAGGGGCTGGGAACGCCGAAGCCCCACCGGCATCCCCCGGGGCTGCGGTAGGGCGACGGCTGCCCGGCCGAACCCGCCGGCCGCTCCCGCCCTCCTAAACCCCTTCCTCCTCCCGGGCCGCTCGCCGACAGCGCCCCGGGGGCCGGCCGAAGGGTACGTTGGCCTGTGTTCCCGCCGACCGGGCTCGCCCTCACGGCGTGGGGCAGGAGGGACAGCCGCCCCCCGGGGCGGACGGAAAGAGCTACCGGTCACCGACGGGACCCCGGGCCCCGTCCCTCACGGAGACGCCCCAGCGGCACCTCCCGGCAACGGGGACTGCGCATGCGCGGGGAAGCGGCGCAGGCGCCTCGGGGGGCGGTGGCGTGGTGGGGAGGCTGCGCATGCGCGCGGGGGAGTGCGCGGAGCGGCGGCGGGATGAGCTCGGTGCCGGGGCTGCAGGCCGACTGTGAGGAGCTGCTCGGCGCCTTCCAGGAGGCCGATACCGTCCGCTTCGAGCGCTTCGCCGAGCTGTGGCGGGAGCGCCGCTTCCATACCATCTTCTAGTGAGTGAGGAGTCCCGGCCGGCCCAGCCGCCTCCGGGCCGTCTCCTCAGCGGCCTACCCGCTGCGAGTCGCCCTTAGCGGCACCGGCTTGAAAGGCAGCGGGGCCGGCCGCCCTTTCGCCTGTCTCTGCGCGGTGCTCGGCTCGCCTCAGGGAGTCTGTCTTCCCCCTCCCAAAGCCCACAGATCCCCGCTGCTGAGCTTGCCCCTTGGTAGCGCGGAGGACCTTAAAGGGGGGGTGTTGGTGAGCCGTGTTTCCCTGCTGGCATAGTTTTTGGGAAGGGTTTGCCTGGCTGGTGCATAGGTAAAAGGCAATGAAGTCTCGGTCCCTGTGTAATACTGAAAAACAGTTACTAGTTCGATTTATTTTGTACGCTACTAGCGCATGTGATTTGAACACTGATGCTTCAGGGATTTTGATGCAACGCTCGTGATACAAGGTTAGAAATGTGATTGGAGGGTATTTCATTTTTCACTTTACATCTAATTTAGTAGAAGGAATTATGTGTAGTGTTGTGTGAGAGCATAAGGTCTGGCCATCTTTGAAGACTTCCCAGAACTTGAGCCCTATGGTAATATGTTTTAAAATACCTAAAACTTGTCTCTGCGTTATGGATTCTCTAAAGCCTGCACATTCATAGTTACTTGCTTCAACATGCTTCCTTTTTGTTTACTTTAGTGGTAGAATAAGAGCTCTGGAGAGGAATAAGCTCACAAAGAAGACTTTAGAACTGGCACAGCAGTACTTCTTGCCCCCGTACGCTTTCCAGATTCGAGTTGGTGCTCTCTACCTTTTGTATGGGCTCTATAGTACACAGCTTTGCCAGCCAAAACAAAAGGTAATTGCTCTTGAGGTTTTATTCTCAGGAGATGCTAGATGTAAGATGTGTGGTATAACTCTGTCTACTTTGTCATCATAAAGGGGTTGGGCATTTTCTCTCACTTTCTTAAAATATTTAGAACCAGATGGTCCCTTTGGAAAAGGTAGCCTTTCAAACACCTTTGGGTTTAAGAACTGACGTGGTGGTGACTAAAGTATTGTGCATGCCTCCTAAATTGTAGCTGTGATCTCAGAAGTCTTGTTTGCCAGAGAGGAAGCTTCTCTCTGTTCAACAATGAACAAGACGAGCTTTCAAAATGGTATTAGAGAACGTGCTCATCAGCTCCATGGAGGACTCCATTACATCCCCAGTTATTCCTTAGAATTTCAAAAGAATGAAGACTGGCTGAATTATTTCCAGTTCCTGTTAACCAGAAGTGGAAGTGGAATTTGTAAATGGGTTGAAAGGGTGAACGCCTGAATGATATGTCTCCTTGCTGCTTTTAGGACAGGAGACCAGTATATAAAGAAGTTGGAAACTCAGTGCAAGGAGAAGTGGTTTAATTGAAAACTGTGTGTTGTATGTTGTGTGCATATGCACAGTTGAGTCCAAATTCTTTAAATAAGAAACTGAAGTCTAAGTACTGTACAATGATGCAATTACATCTCCTATCTTAACTTCAAAGATGTCAGTACCTTTTATGGAGATGAATTGAGGGAATTTTAAAACCACTGTTATATAGCAATTGTTAGAGAGTCTGGGAATTATCAAAGAAGCTAACTTAGGTAGAGAGAAAATGAACTGGGCAGACTACATGGGAGAGGAAGGAAAGCAAGAAGATAAGGATACTTCTATGAGTATTTCACTGGCAGCAAATCATGGTGTGAGTATTATTTCCTAATCGTCTAGTGAGTGAGTCTCCTGGATGTCTATTGTTTCAGGCATCTTGGAATGTGAAGAGTTAACTTTTTCAAATGTCAGAGGGCTTGCGTTCCATGTCACTGTCAAAAAAAGCAACTGCAGTGAGAATATTTAACACAAGTGTAATAAACTTATCTGCATAATATTTTAATAGTAGTAACAAATGGTATAGTAGAATCCTTTCTGTACTTCTGTGATCATGTGACATGTTAGACTCTAGGCATCCAAGTGCTGCACATAGTATAACGTGATCACAGCAGTCAGCTGAATTAATTTTTATGTGTTGAAATATGCAGATTGGTATGACAATGTACAACTGTTATGTTGCAGATCAGAATCGCGCTGAAGGATTGGCCTGAAATCCAGAGATTTCAACAGGATCTGATAGACTCCCAGCATTATGATGCAGCGTACATCTTCAGGACACTGCGACTTGCCAGAGCATTCCATTTTACAGCAATGCCAAAGCTAGTGAGTTATTGCATTAATGACTTACCATTTTTAATAAAATATCTTCAGCTTTCAATGGCTGATAGTTCAACAGCACTCAAGTATTTAGTTTAGCTTTGAGGCTGTGTTGAAATGTAATGTTTTGCTTTATGTAGCTAGGTCTGTGACGTAAAGCTTAGAGGATGTTTGAATGTAGCATGCTTCTCACCTGAAAATATTTTTTCAGTATCTAATGTTCTTACTAGGTTTGAGATGTCCTATAATTTGTGGAAATGTCAAACTCTTGAATCTGGGTGCTGGATTAAATTCTTGACTAGGGAATAATTTTTGAAAAGTGCTGACTCTGGGCACTTGACAGTAAAGCTGCATGCTATTGTTGATGAGATGGTTTTATGCCTTTCAGCATGTCTTGATGGTTGAATATGCAGTAAGAATTTTCAAGAGGAGGTGCCGTTTTAAGTTTGCTTTTAGGTTACAAAGCATTGTCTCTTGCTTTAGCTGAACTACCGAACTAAGAAGAAGATTCAGGAAAATGAATTCAAAGAAGAATTTAAGGACCCAAGTAACAGAGTAAACAACCTCATCACTAATGATGTATTGGAGGTACAGTAACTTTTAAACTACAGATTAATCACTGTTGGTTTTGTTTTGTTTTGTTTTTCTTCTTCAGTTGTCCAAGGGCTAGAACTTATCGAATTAGCACAGTCTTGTCCTTTGTAAGTCTTCTTCTGGAACGCAGACTAGGGTAATAGTCTGTGCCAGCGATTTTACTGAACTCTCAGAAACACGGCATTTATTTTCGAAGAATTGTGGTACCTTTTTCAATACTGAAATATGCTCTAATGTTTTGTGGTTTTGCCTTGGTAAGATATAAAAGGGAAAGGGTATAAATGGTTAATTGTCACTTAGGGAGAGAAAAATGGAAAATAGTGGGTGAGGGAAAGCATGTGTGTTCTGATATGTCTGCAGGTTGCAGCTGGAGGCTTGATACTTGTGATAATATGGATTTACTTATCTGCAAGTTTATAGCCTTCTCTAACCTTTATTTCTGCTTTTAAAACTTGGTTTTGTTTAATATGTAATACATTTTATAAAAAAATGGAGTAATTCAAGCTGCCTATAGGTTCTTATATTGCTCATTATGACTCAGTAATAGATCCTTGTTTACAGTTTTTTTCCAGTTGCTGCTAGCAAATATGTATCATCACTAAGGTTGACTACAGTGGTACAAAAATCAGTAATCTGTGAAATGGCAGGGTGAGGAGACCTGCTTCCTCAAAAGGAGGAAGTAAAATGCCTTCTCCAAAGAGAAGAAAATAGACCATATCAGAATGAGACCTCTATGAACACGGATCCTGAGTATCACTTGAGACTTCCTTCTTAGTTTAATAATGCAAGATACTCTTTCTTCTTTTGCTTATTTGGTGAACTGATGGGACAGTGCTAGGTAGCAGTATTGCTAGGCTCCCTAAAACTGAACTGATCTGAACAGAATCTGTTTCTAACACTCCTGCTAGTTCCACAGTCTCCTTAGAATGGTTTGTATAACACTGGTGTTGTTCATTGAGGACTAATATTGCTTTACTGCTGGAATCTTTTTTTTTTTTTTTTCCTGAAAAGAGTATCTTTTTTATTTTAGGAACTGATGAATATTCACGACCACTATCAGAAAATGAAGTGTGTCATTTCAGCTGACAAATCCCAGCCAGACAAGGCACTGAGCTTGATAAAAGATGACTTTGTAGTTACTCTTAAAGACATAACTTTGGAACATCAGGAATGGCAGCAAAACAGAATGGTAGGTCATATCAACCATTGTGCTGTGGCAACTTAACAGATTGTATGAACATGTAAGAACTGTCTTTCTTGGTGTAATTACCTGTGAACATAGTTTGTAAAGCTCAGATTTAAGTAGAAGGAACTGTAACACTGAAGACATGGAATGAGTAAAACCCTAGGCAGAGTTACAGTATGGGGGGAAGGACATGGACTTGTATGTGGTACTGCTTCTGTGATACTGTAAATGATTGCTGAGAGGTAAGCCCTCGAAGATGTGACTTATGGGCAATATTAGAATGATCTTATGAAATACCTCTTATTTGTGGATCAAGGAAAGGCCATAATGTAAGATCGATGAAGAAAATGGACATGTGTGTAAATACTCATTTTGTTTTTCACAATTCGTGGATTTTAGCTGCCTTGTATATGACAGACATTTAAAAAACCTTTTTTTTTTTCCCAGAAATTATTCCTAAATGCCAAAGAAAGTGATGAAATACCAAGCAAAAAGGAAGAAGGGACTTTGCTAGAATCAGAGGTAAGAAGAAAGAACTAGTTTGCTACATGGCGCAGGCCAAATCTATTTGTGTTTTGACTTCAGATCACAGGCTAAGCAGTATGTCAAGACTTGATAGCGTCAAAGTAAGTTCCAGGAACAGCTAGGGGGGCTGGTTGGTTTTTGTTTGTTTGTTTTTAAATCACATTGTTTTCTGTTAAGCTGTGAGCATTCACTGCTGTGGTAGCTCTTGGATGCTCGTAATAAAAAGTCTCTTTCAGGTAAGGAGGGGAAAGAGCTATATTTTCTTGGCCAGACTCCTTTATGGTTCCTCTTGGAATTTCAACTAAATGCAATATCCATTTTTTTTATGCTACCAAATTATCTCGAATTGTACTTATCTGTTTATTTCAGCTTTGAATTTGAGTAAGATGTGGAGTTTCAAATTTGATTTTCTCCTCCTGGCTTTGTAACAGTGAGGCAATGAAAATTATGGTCTGCCTTCTTAATGAAATTTGAAATTATTATTTTTTTTTTAAGTAACAGTTCAACAGCATTCTAATTATAGAGAACTTATTCTAATTATAGAATTACAGGTGTGGTGAGAGATTGCTCAAGTGATTGTCTGATGTGATATTTCATTTCAATACAGCTATAATAGAGTATGAAAACTTTCTCTGACTGATCCCGTTGTTTCTTTGCAGGGTTCTGAAAGAGCAAATGCACTGGCTAGAATCAAGTACAGGTCTTACTCTGCAGTTGTTGAGGTAGGTATAAAATTTGATCATAGGGATGTATTTATTTTTAAAGAACAATTTTAAGTACCAGTTTAATGTAAATGCTGGGTCAGAAAGGAATGAGTTAAAATTGCACTCTATTTCAACCTTTGAATGTTCTAGTTTTCCTAACACATTGGGGAAACCTGAAGCTCTTACTATTCTTGTTAGATTTGTGGAAGCAGTACAGATATGGTCTATGCTTGGGAGATTTTAATATACAAGGTATCTTTCAATGTCTATGTTCTGTTTAAGTAGGTGGAATTTTAAATAGATGGAATAAAAATACTTCTGAGTTTAATTGCTCAAATTCCTTGAAGCTTAGATATTTGAATCTCTGAAGATGCTTGCAAAAATAGCACTTGGGTGTTTAAAGTCTGTTGGAAGTTCTTGGAAACCTTGTTTCAATAACTGCTACTTTAAAAATATTGACGATTTGTCTCTTTTTGTAGCAGGCCTATGAGAAACATCACAACTTTCCCTGTTTATTAAAATCTCATGTTGAAAAATGCATTATTGAATGAAACAGAGCTCTGGAATGTATAACAGTCCAGACTTGTGAATATGCAGTGATAATGTTTTCTAGGCACCTATGCAAAATATGACAGTAAAGAGGCTTTATGGTTCAACAGTTTTCGGAAGTGTTCCTTTTGCTTGACCATAGTGGTGTGCAACATGGTGTAGGTTCATACCAACAGAAAATGGTTTGAAAATAAATTAATATTCAATTACCTGAATATTAAGTGATACACCCACTAATCATAGAAGGGTGTTGTCCTGTTAAAACTGAAGATCAGTAGTAACTAGTGGGAATCTTCCCTCCCTCCCTTCCCCTTCCATCCCTTCTGCACCCTGACATGTAAGTTGGTCCTTGCTGATTTGTAAGGTACTGGGTGACATACAGGAATATCTGGCTGTAGAAGTTTAGCTTTTTTGTATCATTCATGTGTATGCTTGGGTTCTAGGCTTCCAAATCCAGAAGACATCGTCAAGTAAAATTAGAATCTTCTGAATCGGGATCAAATTATGGGAAATCTCCAAGCCGAAGTAAAAAAAACAGTAGGAGACCACAGCCAGCAAGAAGAGATTCTTTGGAAATCAAAGGTATTTCTGCATTGCATTTGTGAACCTGGAGAGACTGCAGAAGTTTATACATGGCTTAGCTAGCTGAGGCAGCTGGTTTTGTTGTTACCATTGATCAGTGGAGATAGAAGATTAAAGAAATATTTTGTGATGCCAGCATCATATTGAACCTTTTTGTCTGTTTTCCACACTCTGGTCAGGTAGAAAGACAATATGAGTGCATGCAGTTTATTGTTAATCTGAAGTCTCCTGTATAGTCCTACTAATTTTTATCTGGAAAGGCATGACCTTGGAGAAGCATGTCCTGTGTGGCAGTGTCTTAACTTTTTCCTATTGCCATGTAACAAACATATTGGAGATTAAGATATGTGTCTAACTGTTTCTTCTTCTGACAGATAGCTTCTGCTTTTGAAGCTTTCTGATGAAAATCAGCCTATCTGATAATTTTGATAGTTCGTACTATCTTCATGACATCCAAAGTAAACCTTCCCTGTTTCTATTCTGTTCTTGAGCTCTTGAAGGAATATCCTCTAATATTTCTGAAGAGAAAATGATATTGATGTCTTAATGACAATGATTGTAAGACTAGTACCTGTGCTATCATCTCAGTCATTCTCCTTGCAGTACTCTTTATTTTGTTCGTTACTGAAATTTTTAATACTTCCATGTGAATACAAATCTTTTGTCAACAACTGATGTAGTTTCAAAACTCTTTTCAAATTGTTTCCTTAATATCAGCATTGCAATTATAAGTTCTACATGTTTTTAGTTTATAGACTTAACTTTTCCCTTCTTGACAGGAGGGGGTTTTTTATATACCTGTGACTTGGTTTTTGTGGTTCTGTTCTGTAATTCTATTTTATTTCTCCTGAGCATTATAATTTTAGCTAGGAATAAAAACAATTTTAAGGAGCAAATGTTTTTAAAACGTTTCAAAGTTCCAAGCTCTGTTTTCTGACTTGCGTAGCTTCTGCTAGAAAAAAAGTTACAGAGAAAAATCATCCCTCTTCAGAGGTAAGCATTAGGCAATGTTGCCTGTGCTTCATTTTAAAACAGTAGATGAAGTGTTGAAGAGGAATAAGGGCGTTTTGAATTATCTCTGTACTGACTGGAGTTGGTGATTAATATGCTTTAAACTTGTAGTGTTAACTACTTGTTATTGAAGGTTTTAGTGAGCCGTATGAAAGTACCGTGAAATGTAGGTGTTTCTCTACAGCCTTTGTCTAGAAAGTTAAGACAGCAGCAAGTGAACAACCTGTTAGCTGCTGGACCTGAGATGTAGAAGCAAAAAAAAAAAAAAAAAAAAAGCGGACAGTTTTTCCTAAAAATCTATCTGCAGGTGAAATGCAAGTGGCAAAGGAAACTGTTACTCGGCATATTGGGATGCCTATAATCACAGAAGAGAATTCAGATGAAGAAGGTACAACGATTGAAATTCTAACAAACTGGTGACTTGTTTTTTAATAGCTGTCTACTATGCTGTATTTTTCTGAAACTAAAGCTGATATTTTGGACCATGTGTTGCTGCCTTGCAAAAGCTAGATTAGTTTTTAGCCTGTAAATTGTTGCATTGAAGCTTTGATTTGAGACTTTGTTATGAGCACACACGTGGTGGCAAATCCTGAGGGTCATGTTTTTCTACATAGATTTATTTCATTATCGTGTGTTCAGAATTAAAACTGGTCCAGTTAAAAGGGGACTTACTCTTCTGTAATACAAATCTGGCTTGAAGAGTTCCAATGGGTAGGGAAAAGTGATTTTTTTGGTCATTCTTCTACTTACAGAAGATACCTGTTCTAGTAACTATGGGAACTTATGTAACGTGCACTCGAGGTCAGAATAGCCCTTGCTGCCTTCACCTTTGTGGAAGTGAAGGGACATAGAAGTTTCTCCTCTAGCCTTAGTTTCAGTTGGGCAATGCTTCAAGGATTAAGTTCCAGTATACGTGTACAGTAATAGCATTCTCTGCTGTATTGGAAGTTGTCCGACATAGATGGGGTAGATATTCTGGGAACCGCAGCAGAAGAGTGAATGACTTTGCTGTCACTCACATTACTGGAAATAATGTAATTTTTATTTGGAAGCAATGAATGGTAAAGTAGGTTTTTCAAAGCTGAGTGTGGAGTTGCTCTACAGATGGATCAAATGCATGTAGTACAAATTGAGATGTTAGATGATCTTGAACTGCTCTGCAACTCAGAAGCTTCAGGGTCTGCTCTTAGTATTGCTTGAGGAGAATGTAAGCACCACAGAACAGACACTGCACAAAGAAAATTGCATCCTCTTTATCTTGAGGTACCTCATTTAGCTGTGCTCTGGGAAGAGCCTGGAGTACTGCTCTGCTGCCATGTCTCAAACACAGGTAGTGTTCCTGGGAGAGGAGCTGGCCAGCTAAAGGCATGATTTCCACTGGCAGTTCTAGCTAGTCTAAAACCAATGGGTCTTGCTTACGTAGTGGAAGGCAGACTTGATAGACCAGAGATACTGGTTCTTAACCTGACAGAGTAGGATTTAATTAGGTTGCTTAAAGGGGAAACAAAAAGTTAAGTACAACATCTGTAAAGCTTTAATGACATAGATGAGTGTGAGGAGTACATCTTTTGGAGTTAATTTACTATCCAAAGTTGTATGGAAGGATATTTAATGCAAGGGAGCATGATAACTATTAAAATACATTTGCAGTGAGGTAGCACATTTATATTTTCTCTTTTTAAAAGTAAAAGAGCATCCTGTAGTACTGAAATGAGACTACATTCTCTGATCACCTTGGTTGTAGATAATGTGAATTCATTCAATTTTAAATCGTCAGATTGAAGGCACAGTGGTGTATTTAATATTGTACGTACTTACTTTCCTTCAAGCTGTTGTGGACAAAAAGTTTCTTTCTAAATCAGGAACATTCTCCATTTCCCAGAATGCCAGCATTCTGAAATGTTAAAAATACCCATAAGCAATCTCTTCAGGTATTTTATGCTTAATTTTGTGAGTATTCCATTCGTCAAACTCACAACGAAATCTTAAAAGTGTTCATGAGGAGCAGAAAGCTCTCAAGATTGAATAAGTTTTGAAGTACAGTATTTTGTTCATCAATGGAATTTTAATTGATATTTTGAATGACAGTGTGCTGTAGAATCTAGAAAGTTGGTGGGGTTTTTTTTTTCATATTTAAAACCATGGGGAGGGGGATTGGGAGGAGATCTCAAGAGCTCATCTAATTAATTTCCTTTGCTGGGCAGAATTAATTCTACCTTAATCGTTCCCATGAGGGAAGATAGATTGAAAAGCTTGTCAGAAAAATCTCTTTATTTGCTTTCAGAAGTATCTCTCCCCAAGAGGAAAAGAAGATGTTAGAGGATCCAGTTGGAGAAGCACTAATGTTAATTTTAATGACAAAACATAAATGTCAGAGGTAACACAAAGTTCTTGTCTTGGATGCCTTTGAATGTACAGCAAGAAGTGTCTGGGACCAGAACCACAGGTGATACTGGAATACTGGTAGTGACTGGTATACCTTAACTGTCTCATGATGGTGCAGTATCTGGTGCCTTTATTCGCCTGGTGAATGCTTTTTGTGGGAGACAAAGTTGCTGTTCCCTGTTTGAGATGGAAAGAGAAGATGGTTGTTTGTTGTATTTAGCTTGTACAATGTGAGTTATCACTTGGAACTCATGTTGATGTGCAATGATGGTTTTAGCTGAGACTGTTAAAAGAACAGCTCACAAAATATTTGCCCATATGAGAGACATGTTTGTAATCTTTTATCTCTGAACATAAAATTAAGGTTACTGACTGTTGAAAATTAGTACAATAAATTATTTTCCACACTGTACTTGCTCCATTGTATAGTGCGTAACTTCAGCAATGTTTATCATGGTTTGATCCCACAGGTGTGGGAAATGAACTTGGTGATGAGTCTTTTATTGTACTCTGTCTCCAGCAGATCTGGAATCATTGTGTATTCAAATGAGGAAATGTAAAGTGCGTTTATTAATTCTGCAGATGACCTTAAGCTCTACAAGGGCAGGACTGGAATTCAAAATGGTCTTTATAAATTGGAGACGAGTGGAAGAAGTGGGGGTGGAAATAGACATGAAGCTCAGTACTGAAAACAGGTACAGGATGGGGAAATGATTGCTAGGCAACAGTACTGCAGAAAAAGCAAACAGACTGAGAATCATAAGCTGGAGTATTTTCTGTAAACAATAACAAGCGCTAGAATTCAAGTCATTCAGCCCTGAAAGGCTGTAGCCTTAAATACCCCTGTCTGACCACAACAATTCAAGACAAATGTGGATAGTTATTCTCCTTGGTATTTTCTCCAGTTGATGATAGCCGTACTATCAAGAATGGCTGAAGGAGTTGAGGTGTCCTCTACTACAAGAAGAAATATAAAATAGAAATTTGAAAGGTTTTGAATATAAAAAGGACCTAAACTGAGTGAATTAGTTTGGTAGTATGACTCTCAAAGGCCAAAGGAATGGAAGTGCCCTTACCTAGAAGAAGAGACACCTGAGTGGAAATATAAATCATTTGACTATAAAAGGGGCCTGTATCAAATGCATTGGTTGGTAAGGAGGAATGGGCCTAAATGACAACAGGTTGGACACTCTAAAAACTACTAATTAAGCACCAGTGTTGCACTCAACCTTTTTAATGGGAAAAGAGGAGAAACACTTTATAACAAAGCCAAAACCTTGCTGTATAGTAAACTGAACAATCAGATATTCAGTTGAATAACCAAAATCTTTACAGTCTAATCTGAAACTCATTATTAGTCCAGATCTAATTATTGCAGAAAAAGAATACTTCTATACAGCAAAAAGTCTCTGTAGTGGTAATAATACAGTTAAATTTATTCATACACGCGCTTAGTTTCTACCCCTTTTTCCTGGTTTAACTCTTCCACTGCGCTTTTGGTCCTACGTTTGTTAGGCTTAGTCTGTGGATAGAACATGCCATAGATGTGGTTCATTTTCAAAAGACTAATCTGTAGTTATAAAGGTTTTGGAGGTATCATTTCTGTAAATCTTGAACAGTTTGGTTTTAACTGGGTTTTCGGACAATAATGATGCTTGTGCTTTTCTATTACCAGCACAAACTCATTCTCCCGCTATGTATTTCTGCTCCTAATTTTTGGTGAGCAGATACAAGAGACAAAAAGAGACCTCTTAAGGAAAACTTAACCAGGTGTTTTTCCTCAATATTTTCTGCTCATCTTAATGCAGTTAGGAACCTGTTGGTAATGCTGCATTTATCAGTTTTGTCAGTTCCAGCTGCTGCTTTGGGTGTGGGTATGCAGGCTGACAGAGAAGCTTTCTGGTATCCTCACATTGCAGGGGATGGATAGCAGTATAGGGGAGCAGTTTGGAGATGAGGTGCAGTGGAGTACTTGAATCTCTTCTTGGGAAACCCCTGGATGGCTAAGAAAGATAGAGATGAAGAGGAAGAGTTCTTTCTAGCAGATACTGGGACTACAGCTTCAAATTCATAATTTCTTACGAGTTTCTTCACTTAGGAAGTTGCTTAAGGATGAACAGCACCAATCTTCTTTTGCTGTTTCTAGGCACGGAGGTTAAGCTACGTCTTCCAGCTACATGGTATTGGGTTCTTCCCTTGAAGGGAAACTTGAAAGTGACTTCTCTTTTTCTATTTCCCTCCAACTTACGGGTGTCTTTCTCAAGGAAGCTAAAGATCAAGCACAGCTACAAAAGCTTATTTTTCATTTTCTTGACAGGCTATTTTCAGCTAAATTATTATTCCATATGTATGGCATAAGTTTATTTTAACATACTTAAAGAATATGTTTAATACTGTTCCCTGCAGTGACACTTTTTCATATCATGACCCTCTTGTTTCCCTCTCCTTGTACCTTTGAACCATCCCAAGAGCTGAGTAGGAGAATTTTTCAGAATTTTTGATACTCTGTGCCATGAGTCTTCCCTGCACACGCTTCTGAAAATGATTTGCAAATTAACATAGGAAGCATGCAAAGGCTTGACTAGGCATGAAGATGGGTGCATTCAACTAGCAGTTATTTTAATATTGTAATTATGAAAACAAGTGTTCTTTAATTTGTTTATAAAATTACGTAGATGTAAAATAGAAGTTATGCTTAAGGATAGACTTAGAACTGCTGACTATATACAGTGGTAATATTTAGGACAGTAATCCTGAGAATTTAGAGGCAGCTGTAAGCAAAGTTTCATAATGCTGGTGTAATTTTTTTTTTTTTTAAATAAAAATCCCTTGCTGCAGTCTGATGGGCAATTACGGGCTTTTAAGAACAGGAGAGGGACTTCCTAAAATGCTTCATTGAAGCAAGCAGCTGTCATTAAAAAAACCCCAACCTATCCCCTCCTTCCCCTGCCAACAATAGTAAATCTAGAATTCCAAGAATACTTTTTTCTAGTATCTAACTTCTCTCCTGGTTATAGCCTCAGCTAATACAGCAGTTAAAGGCTACAAGGAAACTTATCTCTGTAATGCCAGCCTAACTTCCAACTGACCTGGTGGATCGGAATGAGGCAACGTGACAGTATGTATCTGGATGTTGTTACAGTTTTTGTAAATAAATTAGAGAAATATGGTTTGGCTGAAACTTCTCCAAGATGGATATACAACTGACTGAAGAACTATATTCATACGATAGTAATCACCATTTCTTTGACAAAACTAAAGGATCCTCTAAGTGGAGGTTTGAGCTAGTGCTATGCAATGTTTATGAGTGTAATGTGGGTGATGAAAAGCAGAATAAACTTAAAACACTTATAGGTGACATCAGTTTAGAAACTGTTTAAGTGGAAGACGTTGTCCAATATAATTTTTATTCTTATAATGGGAGAAATCAGTAAGGTCTAATTAAGTAAAGGTAAGTGCAAAAGGCTGCACTTGGAAGGACAGATTAAATGCAAATACCAGCTCGGGAATGCGTGTGTAAGCAGCTGTTCTCAATCTGGAGGTTTTTGCAGCCCTCAAACTGAAGGTGGATCAGCAGTATGGGGGTGAGGTGAAAAATTCCAAATGCCATGGATGGCAGTGGTGATCTGTGTTGTGTATAGTTTGGGGAGGATGCAGACATCACCTCTAGAATAATTAGAGAATCCTAAAAAGGGCAACAAAAAGAAAACAGACTGCGGGAGAGTTTAGTCTGGGAAAGAAAGGGTTTGAGAGTGAATGTAACAGTCTTCCTGGTAACGGTCTTTACAGCTTTGTAATATGTGTTTACGTAAATGGTGACTTAATTGTTCTCCATGTTCACTGAGGTAGAGCTATACAATCTGCAGCAACATGAATTTACTTAGTAAGAGATTTTTGCAGTTAAATAAACAGTTTGGCCTTATAACAAACAGCAGAATCACTTTTACTGTAGGAGTTCAAAACAATGGTGGGAAAACAGTCATGGTTGTCTGAGGTAGACCTAATCCTGATTTGGACAGAGGAGATGGACTAGAGGATACCTTGAGGTTCCTTCTAGCCCTATACTTAAATGTTTTACATAACAGGACCCTATGCAGAGAGTTTATATTCTCTCATCACACTGTGCATAGCAAGTTCTTCAAATGCCACAGATATTTTACCCCTTCTTTTCTGAAATGTGTCATTTTCAGGTTCATTCTGCTCTGGAGTTGCCCATTCACATTTTACAAAGCTTGCTGTGCGGATCAGGCTTCCTTACCCCATTTTCATCTTTGTCTTCACATCTGGGCAGCTGATTAAGCCTGGTAACGGAATACTTCCCTCCTCCATCTGTATGCAACGCAACCCTTGGAAATGAGACTGTGAGAACTTCATGAGCTACAAGGGGTTGAGAAATGTGCTAAAACTCCTTGCTCTTAGCACTGCAGGGCTTGGGTCAGGCTTCTCTGTGCTGCACCGTAGCTTGGCTGCAATAGAAACATGCAAAGCAAAATTATCTTGCAACAGCTTGAGCTTTCTGTAACAGACACGAAACTGCTTCCTCTTTGGTCACAGAAATGTAAGCCTGGATGTGGAAAACAGTGGAGGACATGAGGGCCAGCCATCGGCTGGGTGAGGTTTTT